TACCATTTACTTTCAGAAACTATGAACCAGATCTTCCGTGTTCGTAATAAAGACTGAATTTTGATGTTTTCTTATCGAAATTTCTCAAAATCTGGATTGGAAGTGACACCAGCGAGGTTTGTAACACATACGTTCTTTATAGACTTTATTATAGTTTTGAAGACTTTCCACACTTTTAAAAAACGTATCACGCAAAACCATCACCCAAAAAAAGTTACATAGTGCAGCTTTAAGTTTACCGCATATGCTCACTGAAGAAGAATTTGAAGATTTAATTTCCAAATGTATTTTCCAGCTATCAAAACATTATCTTTTATACATTATTGTCACATATAATACTTCTAGAAGATGGTAACAAAAAAATAAATACATTTTTGGGCAATTTTTCAAACCAGAGAAACCGTTTTTGGAGTTTAAACACAATCTCAGCTTCAGTTTTGGCTCTGAAATTGGAAATTGTCACGGCTGGGTTCACAATCTCCATCCAAAATAACATAATTTCCCGATAATTCATTCATAATTTAAGTTTAATTACACTTTGAATGTCGATTCATTAATTTACTAAAGACAAAACTTACAAACCAGAAACATTTCGGAGGTAATGAAAGATGGGAATGGATTGCATAAACACAATTAAAGGAGACACGCTTTTACGATTTGAAACTACGATAAATTTAAAGCAAAAATACGAATTATTACATTTAAATCTGTGTTCTGAAAAACCTTCTGGCACATCTACAGACTCTCGTTTGCGAATCAGAGCTCAAGTCAAACTCTCGATGACTCCGAAACTAAATGATAAATCCCAGAAAATGCGTTTACAGAGGGGAGGCGAGTTCATCTTTTTTCTGTCTAAACGTTCGCAGCCGATTTTTTTGACTCTCGTTTCTGTGCTGGACGCTTCGTATCAGTGAAAACATTTTGGAGCTGGTTCCACTCTCTGCTCTGTGTCAAGTCTATTTCGTAGCAGCAGTTTAATGTCTTATTTAGGAATTTATTTGTTTGGAAACGTCGTGTCGTCGTCAGTGTCCAGATAACCCGTGAAACTAAAGAAGGAAAAATTATAATCAAAACGTTTTTTTATTTAAACTACACTGGAATTTTGGCTGTAATATAATTCTTTGATAAATTTGACTGTTGCATGTTGGATGTGATTAATTAAAATAACATCATACATTTCTGATTCAGTTTTTTGAAATCATGTTTGAGCTTCCAGGCTGAGTCCAAATAATTTATCGAAGGGCATCCATGCGTGCAGGCCTGCGCGTTCCCACGGGGCGAGAGAACCGGTCAGTGCGCACGACGCGACGAAATTTGCCAAACACACCGCGCTCTGCAGCTCTGCATCTCTACAAAAAAATAAAAATAAAACAGCTCTGCGTTGTGTCAGGGGTGTTTTGTGAGAGACGCTGATTTTAGACGGTCAAAAATGTAAATCTGAGCGACGGCGATTACGCAAATGCGACCAAAACACCCGTGCGTAACGTAATGACTAATTAAGTTAATGGCGGCGCGCTGGTAATGACCGCGGCCTCGTTAAGACGACAGAGAGTCTCAAGAGGAAGAGGCACGGGCGTCTTTATCCACCGCGTAAAACTAAATACGCTTTGTGTGTTACGCGCACCCCAGAGCCCCGTGCGTAAAAAGCTCGGGTCCCCGTGACCGCGCGCCGGTTCTGGGGGAATAATGGCCGCTTTAATTATTTAAGGGGACGCCGTTTGCTGCGCCAGAGTGTGTTAAGTGTGTGAGGAGAAGCACGCGGCGCCAGCTCCTTCTGATCCCCCCGCGTGTGTGTGTGTGTGTGTTACAAGTCTGCAATCTGTGGAATAATGTACACACGATCAATAACGCGCGCGCGATTTCAATACACACAATACGGATTTATTTAAGGGGAGCGGAAATAGCGTGGAATTATGTTGCATAAACATGTGTGTGTGTCTGGCCGCGTTTGTTTCTCTGCACAAAAGTCAAGGAGCTGAGCTAAAAATCTGCAGAGGTTTGGACAAACGCGCAGTGATACAAACATCAGAGGCTCACGGGCACCTTCATAACCGAGCAGATAAACTGAAGATTGTAGTGACCAGAGGAACAGAATAAAAGAGTCTGTGTGGATTTAACAGCAGCTGTGAAACACCAAATGTGCATCTGTGTGAAAGGCAGCAGAGCAGAAGCTGTTGCCGCTGCGTTAAAAATGAAACGTTGCCCCGTCGCGCTCACGTCCCTGGACACGCACCAGCGGCAGGCCCCGGAGCGCGCGTAAACACGGGGCCAGCGCGCGCTCCGGTGAGCCCAGGGAAGAGCAGAGAGTGTCCGCCGTCTGGAGCTGCGAGTCTGGGGCATGACGTCCCGCGCTGCTCGGAGCTGCAGCGCGCGCCTCTGATTGGTCCGCTGCGTTGACAGCTCTGCACATGATTGCAGGAAGAGAAGCCCGCCCCTTTCCTCTTCTTCTAAAGGAGCCATTCATAAAGTACACAGGTCCGGCTCCAGCTGAGTGTGGACACTGCAAGAGCAGAGCGAAGAGACGTGTGCTCTCACGCGCGCGGGACGTGGGTAGAGGACGCACGAGCAGAATATGTGTTTACCTGGAAGTTATCTAAACTGGACTGAGATTTAGCCCCACGTTACGTTGTTTCCTGCTCCTCGCGCTGACGTCCATCCGCTGAACGGCAGTAAACTTACTTTTGGATTGAGCTGGTCTTCTCCCGCCTCGGGCTTCACCGGTAAGCGTTGGATCCGTCAACTTACTGCGACTCTCCGGTGTACAGCCCGGACCTCTGCCCCAACATGATCGCCACGCAGGCTAAGCTGGTCTACCAGCTCAATAAATACTACAACGAGAGATGCCAAACGCGCAAAGGAGCCATAGCCAAAACCATCCGAGAGGTGTGCAAAGTGGTGTCGGACGTCCTGAAGGAGGTGGAGGTGCAGGAGCCGCGCTTCATCAGCTCCTTGAGCGAGATCGACGCGCGCTACGAGGGCATGGAGGTCATCTCTCCCAACGAGTTCGAGGTGGTGCTGTACCTGAACCAGATGGGCGTCTTTAACTTTGTGGATGACGGCTCGCTCCCGGGCTGCGCGGTGCTGAAGCTGAGCGACGGCCGAAAGAGGAGCATGTCTCTCTGGGTGGAGTTCATCACGGCCTCGGGCTACCTCTCCGCGCGCAAGATCCGCTCTCGTTTCCAGACTTTAGTGGCGCAGGCCGTGGATAAATGCAGCTACAGAGATGTGGTGAAGATGGTGGCTGACACGAGCGAGGTCAAACTGAGGATCCGGGAGCGCTACGTGGTACAAATCACTCCCGCCTTCAAATGCACGGGCATCTGGCCCAGGAGCGCAGCCCAATGGCCGCTGCCGCACATCCCGTGGCCCGGACCGAACCGCGTGGCCGAGGTGAAAGCGGAGGGCTTTAACCTGCTGTCCAAAGAGTGCTACTCTCTGACGGGGAAGCAGAGCTCCGCGGAGAGCGACGCCTGGGTGCTGCAGTTCAGCGAGGCCGAGAACAGGCTGCTGATGGGCGGCTGCAGGAAGAAGTGTCTGTCGGTGCTGAAGACGCTGCGGGACCGACACCTGGAGCTGCCCGGACAACCTCTGAACAACTACCACATGAAAACACTGCTGCTGTACGAGTGCGAGAAACACCCCCGCGAGACGGACTGGGACGAGTCGTGCCTGGGAGACCGGCTCAACGGGATCCTGCTGCAGCTCATCTCGTGCCTGCAGTGCCGCAGATGCCCGCACTACTTTCTGCCAAACTTGGACTTGTTTCAGGGGAAACCGCACTCGGCCCTGGAGGCGGCCGCCAAGCAGACGTGGAGACTAGCACGAGAGATCCTGACCAACGCCAAGAGCCTGGACAAATTATAGTGTGTGTGTGGGCCGGACGCCATCTGAAGACTCTTTTTTAAAACGGAACAATTGGGCTACTGCCACACAGAATAAGGTACATTTTAAACAAATGAACCTTTTGTTGTCTTCGTTATTAAATGTTTTCACAAAGTGAACTAACTTTAATTTAAATATATGCACAGAATCGTTCAGTGAAATTTAATGTAGCGTGCCAAGTTCGAGTTTTTCATGATGTGACTTGAAAAGAAATGCTAATAAAATGTTGCAAATGGAGTTATATTATGCGTCGTGTGTTGACCTTGATGCAGCACATTTAGCCAAACTAAAATCTGAGCGCGTTTAGAAACAGCAGCAAAGTGAAGTGAAGTGAAAGACCCGCGCCCAGAGCCTCGAGGACAAAAGGAATTTACAGAAAATCCAGCGGCGACGATTTGAAACTCAGGCCCGAGGAAGAGTTTTGGTCCGCGGCCTGAAGCACGAGCCGCGGGCTTCAGTGTTATCAGGACGACCCATCACACACACACCGAGACACACACACACCGAGATACACACACACACACCGAGACACACACACTCACACACACACCGAGATACACACACACACCAAGATACACACACACACGTGCTCACAGTCAGTTATGGACAATAAACGAGCACTAACCACCTGTGGCTCGTCCGCAGATAAGAGCTTTTAAATGAGCTGTCAGGACGCACCGCGCCGCAGAACAAAACCGCATTTTGTTCATTTTAACCCTGATCTATAAATCAACAACTGCGCAAAAACTTATCACAATCTGCACCAAAGACTGCAACAGATGATTACTCAACCTGATGCTGTGGATAAAAAAATATATATGAGACTAAACTTTAATTAGACTGGATATAATTTCGAGCTCGTGGTGTCGTCACTCGTGGAGCACGTGTCATGACACGATCATAATGATATTATTAAGACGTGACACGTCACTAAACACGTTTGTTTTCTTTATAAACCGAGATCAAAACAACAGAGATTGACTTTAAAAATAACTCAGAGTTATTGTTAGTTAAAAGAGTCCAAACAAAGAGCAGAACAGTAGTAAACAGAGCAGCTCTGCTCTTCAGGGGGAGAGACGCAGACAGAGGCGCAGTGCGCGCGGGCACGAGACTCTCAC